TGAGTACTTATAACAAAATTAAATGGCTTCAGTTGGAATTTCTTCTTTTATGATCTTCACAAATTCTTGTAATCTTTAACCAAGATTGTAGTATGTTAGTTCCATTTTTCATTTTTGAATATTTTTTGTAAATAATTATAATTCCAACATTGTGTAAATCTATACCTTCAGTATTTGAAACAAAATCAAGAATAAAAAATAAACATAAAAAAATTATTTGATATAATGTTTTACTTTCTTACCAATTAAATTTTAATTATTTTATCTTCTCAGTACAAGAAACAATGTTTTCTTTGTTTTGACACATAAATCCCTGTATCCTTATGTAATAATAACTAATAAAAATAGATAAAATCCTTGAATTCTTAGTAGCTTGTCCAAATAATTTTAAAACACTAACATCAAATTTTTCTAAAAATTTCAGAACAGCAAAAATATCTTACTTTGATTTTATATAAAATTTATTTTAGTGTCACTTTAAGATATTTGATGAGAAGTTTAAAAGAATTATAAAGCATATAGTTTTTTCTATATTCTACATAGATATTTTATCAAAATCTGTACTGAAAAACAAAATCAATCAACTCAAAGGTATCCACAATGCTGAAAAATTATTATAGTTTTCTTAAAGCTCCAATGAGTTCAACCTTGCTATTCTTTTAATATAAAATCAATTTATTATTCGATTTCAACTGGAACCTTATATATATATATATATATATACATATATTTAAATTTAATTTTAAATTTTAAACTTGTTTTAATATAATATATGCATGATAAAATATTTTGTTACAAACAATACTGGTTGACATTTCTATATTCTTAATCATATGACAAGGTGCATAAAATGACCATATATTTTTATTTTTGGATTATTTTCATTTAATAAATTATATTTTCTATTTAAAAATACTGAATTAAAGTTTAAAGTGATTTATATTCTAAGTATTGGTTTTTTGCCAATAAAAACATTACAAGTCTTATTCTTCTTAGTTTTAATCCTAGTTGTGATTCTATTATTCATTTAGATAAAATTAAATTTTAATTCACTCTAACTTCAAGCAAAATAAGGGCTATTATAAATCAATTTATGTTCAACAACCTTTTTTCTCTATTTAAAAAAAAAAAACAAAACAAAACAAAACAAAAAAAACAAAAAAAAACAAAACAAAACAAAACAAAAAAAAAACAAAACAAAACAAAACAAAACAAAAAACAATTATTCGTTATTATAATTCTTTTGGAAACCACTAAGTAAACATCCTCTTTTTATTCGATGAACACTTCCTATACTACACAGCCCACATACACACAATGAAATAAAGTATTTATATTCTTTTGTGTTTTTAAAAAGTAGTATTCTTAATCATATGAAAAGTATTTAAATTATATTTTGAAATATATTTTACATTAAAATTTAAAATAAGAGATTTGTGTGAAATTGCTTATGGAATATATATATATATATATATATATATATATATATATATGATTGAATTTGACAAAAATTTAACAATATATTTTATAAAATTCTATAATTCACTTTATGAAGCTCATTAATTTTGTTTAAGGGATCTTTTATTGTAAAATTATCCTAAAACTTATTGGTGCAAATAAGAGTTTTACTATATCTTGATGGAGGTGCAAAGCATGGAAGGTGTCCACATATAAAAGAGAGATGTCTTCCTAGTATTTTTTTAATTATTAATAATAAATATTTACTTTTTACATGTATGTATATGTTAATTTATAATTAAAAGATACTATATTTTAACAAAAAATAACATTTTAAGTTGAATATTTTTACAATATTATTTGTGTTTTTAAAAAGTTCATAAATTGTTAACATAAATATCAATTTTAATCTTAATTCTTTAATAAATATCTAAGATATTTATTTAATCCTAAATATAATAATAAATTTTTAAATTTTTATTTTATTAAAGATGACCTTCTATGAAGTATGATTTTTCTATGTGCTATTTGTTTCTACAAACTAAAATTTAAAATTTTAATTTAAGTCTTCTAATTTTTTGTTATAACATAAAATTTACATTTTTTTTTTTTATTATTCTTTACATTCTTTCAGTGTAATTTGTTTGTCTTTGATGTCTTCTATACAAATTATAAATTATATATAGTTTATTTAAAGCCAAACTTGGTACAAATGGATTTTATACCAAGTGTATTAAGTAATCACAATATGTTGATATATATATATATATATATATATATATATAAGTTTCTTCTTAATTCTTAGTAGGGACTTGATAGTAACAACACCAATTTTTTATTGAAAAAAAAACTTACATACACCCAATTCAATAGCATAAGTATTTTCACTTTAAATCTAAATTAATTTGAAACTTTAGTATACTTAAATTTAGTAGATCATCAAATTAAAGTATGAGAACTTTTACTCACAATTCTAAACATATTTATGATTATTGACCACATTAAATATGACACATAATAGACTTAAAGCTACATTTATATATTTAATAGAAGTTAGTGGATGGTTACAAGCTAGATTGAGTTTATTTTAATCTCATTGACTTCTATGACCATTCGAAAGGTCATGAAAGTGCAATATTTATCTTTTTTCAGACACAAACTCAATTATGCTTGATAAGACCATTGTATCAGAAAACAATTAGATCTAATAACAAACACTATATATACACATATAAACCAACATTTAAAAGAACTAACAAATAGATTTTTAAATACATATTTGATTAAGAATCAAAATAAAAATTTAATAAGTAATGTATTATATCTATAAATCAATTAATAGATTTTTAAATACATATTTGATTAAGAATCAAAATAAAAATTTAATAAGTAATGTATTATATCTATAAATCAATTAATAAATTAGTAATAAAAATTTAAAAAATTATGAAGCAATTTTATTTTATAACTTTAGTATATTCTTACAAATTTTTCAATTCCTTTTTTAATGTAATTGTAAACTATAAATTATAGTATTAACTTTAAATGTTTTCATAATATATATATATATATATATATATATATATATATATGAAGATTTAATCAATTAGAAAGTAATAAAAAAATATTTTTTAATATTGTATATTAAAAAATATTTTGAAATATTAAATTAAGTTAAAATTATTTAGATGTAGTGTTTAATATAATATTAAAAATTAGTGTAGTAATATATAATGTAAACAAGAAAATATAACATTTTTAATAGTACACAAAAATATGACTTTTAAGTTAATAAAAACTACATTAAGTAGATAATAAAATCCTTTACTAATCATGGATACATTCAAAAGTAAAAGTTATTTTTGTAAAATATACTATTTGTATACAACAAAAGATCAATAAATAAATTAATTAAATAAATAAATAAAATAGAGGTTTGGTTGAGGACATTTAGACAACTAAATTTTGGCAGAATGTAGTGGATAGTTGCATGTTCTAAGTTATGGGGTCGGTTTGCATCCTAGGGTAGAACTTACATGAGCTTATAAGTTTGCATGGAATAACTTAACACCATAGAATCATGTTGGTTTTACTGTTTTTCCTTAACTTTGCAGAGGTTATAACATGGTAGGGGATAACTTAGTAGAGGCAATACTATACTTGACTAATAGACTATAATTTCTGTTTATGCATTATTTTTCTTATTTTATACTCCATTCTAGATTTGATACATATCTAAAATTAAAATAAATGTATTTATATATATATAACCGTTCTCTTAATAATAAAACAAATTTTTATTTTTTAAATATTTTAGTGGTTAATCCATCATCAATGTTTTATTAATTGTGTTCTTGATTAGATAAACATTAAAAGAATATACTTTAAAAGGGATTTGTTTTTATTATGGTATATTCTTTATCTGATTGCACCAATGAATATTTTATAATTGGTATGTTATAGAATAAAAATATAATTAATTTTTTAAAAATATTATTTGATTTTTCTAGGCATTTATCTCTGTTCCAAAAATTGAAAATAAATGCACTTCAATATATGAATAAAAAAATTACTTTCATATATATATATATATATATATATATATATACTTCCACCAATGATGATGGCTTAAACCAAGTTGTGTAAATTTAGGTCTTTCACAATGACAACATTAATGATGATGCATAAAATAATCTTTGAAATGAAATGAAGTATGTATATTCAACAACACCTTGATTTTGATATTGTCAAATTAAATTACGATTTTTGTATTGATTCAAACATGTAAGTTTTGTACATATTTATTTTAAAGAAAGATTTTTGTCTTATATTTCAAACTATAAGTTAGAATAAACACATTTCTGTGACTTCTTTTTGGTAAGCAATAGAATCAAGTCATCAAGCTTCTTTTATTTTCATCAAGGTCACAAGGTAATACAATTCAACAAAATAAATCATTACCCAATACATTCTTCATATTAAGTTCAGATGGAGATTGGTTATATTTTCAAATATAGTCACACAAGTTTACCATATATATAATTCTGTCATACTTATGAAACATGTCTGTTAAAGGATTACCTTCTTTTTCTTTTTCTTTTTCTTTCAGAATATTCTCTGATATCTCTGCAACTAGCTCTTGAATATTTGCTTTTTTAATATATATTTATACAATCTTTTGTTGTACACTAAATTTTTCATGTAACTTATACAAAAAGTTAAAAAGGTCACATATCACAACAATAAAAAGTTAAGTTGGTGCCAACTTCCTATTGAACGACTTAGCCAATCTAAAACCAATTACGTGAACATAAATGGCAATATTTCTAACGCTCATTTAGTCTTAAAAGATGCAGCCAACCTGCGACACAGCATGAGTATGCAGCAGAACGATGCAACTGAAACTCAACCCATTATCATTTTCTCGTAGAAAAGGATGGAAAGAGGTGAAACCCATCCAAGGAAAACAGGATATACCACAAAACATATTCCACAAGGACACCATAAATATCTGCTGGTCTGATATACGGAGCAAGGACAGTTTACAGGTCTGCAGTCTGATGGAGTACTGGAGCATAATGGAGGAGGAGGAGAAGGCTATACAAGGGCAGCATCAGACTTCACACTAGTAGTGAATACGGCCAACATGGGAGCCAAGGAAGCAATGAATGTTATGGCCAAGCATCAACTCATTTCCCCTTCGGAAGAACACTACCATCATCTACAGATAGAGGTCGAAGAACTCACTCAGCTTCCACTGGTGTCGATGTCGATGTACTTGGTTCGTCCACCAGGTACGATGATTGTATGGAGCAGATACATCACAAGTAATTTGCCCACAGTTGCAGTTGCTCTGACATGCAGTTGCTGCTCCAGTTGGGACGTGCATGGCTGGAGCGATAATCCACAGTGCAACAGGCGGTAGAAGCTCACCAGATCGGTAGACAAGACAAGAGTCAAGCATGTGCAATAGATTCCACTGGGGACCACACACAAGTACTCATCCAACTATCAAGGGGACAAGGTTTGAAACAACTTCTTCCTTCCTACTTCAGCCATGACATAGGAAGAGCACTTCGTTAATGCAATATTAAGACGGTGGCCAGGCATGATGATTTATCTTCAGTGATGTAAATTACATGATCCTGGGTTGCTTTCTAAACCAGGCTAGACCCCAGCAGCACAGCCTCGAAGGATTTCTATGATTTGTAGTATACTTTGCAGAACCAACTCATCACACATGCGTGCGAGCTCAGGTGAAAGCAAAAAAGAAAAAAGAATAGTTCACTAATCTGTTCTGACCTCTACACCATTACGATGTGTCTCGAACCTACTCCTTCACTGAGAAAAACATCACAGAATCGCCAAAGGACAACTCCCAGGTTGGAGTGTGCATAGCTACCCGCAACGAAGCTATCAAAACAATGCTTTCATAACTTGCATCCCTCCAAATGGAAGTGCTTGAGCAAAGAATAGTTTAACCTAGAATCTATTACCCCCATCACCCGAAGCCCAATTTTCTACACAGTGCATAAGCCTTCTGCACCTCCATGTACAAGAAAAAGGTCAACTATCATGAAACACCCCCTTAGCCAGTCTAATGCATAGTGCTACTCGAAATGATAAGCTTTGACAACCGGAGAAACTGTTCATCATCAATATTGCAAGAGGCCAGGAACCCATCGCCAAGAATAGCTTCCAGTGAAGCCCCTTCATTGTTTCACTCCACAGGGAGAGGTCCTTCGTTTCGAAATTTACGCGTCGTCAGGGTGAATTAGACAACACGGTAGGCATGAGCACTCAAGACTGCAATCTACCTGTACAAGCACTCCTGAGAGAGAGAAAAAACAACCTCGAAGAGATGTGTTAGCTCCTTTGAGAGAGTCTGGAGAGATTTCACCATCAACTACTCACTTCCACTTTGTGCTGGGAGAGAAAATTCTCAAAATCAGATGTGTTGAAGAAGCTAGTGGGCTGCACACGCCGACGACGAGCCGTGGCGCGAGGTTTCCTCGGAGCCGGAGGGCAGAAGGAAATGTCCACTTCAGGTATTCTGTGTTCCTTTGATTTGGGTGTCTCACAACCAGACTCCTTCGACAGAGCTTCATCTTCTCCGGTGAAGGTGACGTCCAATGCTAGGGTCTTGACAAGAGACAAATCCTTAGGCGCGGTGCAAGAACTTTCCGACGATGAAGTGGGAGTCGTGCGCACGGGCCGAAGAATAGGTAAGCACACCCAACTGTCAAGGGAGAGACGTCTCCTTCCCGATCCCACCTCCATGGGCAGCTTTTGTGATTGATTTTGCAACCTTTGACAGCAACCCGCAGTTGTAGCCGTCATCGCTAGAACGAAACACCACCACCACCACCCTATTAAAATTTCTCCACAAAAGTATGACACCACCAGCACCTAACTTCTCCACTCCTCCACCTCAGGAATTATCACGAAGGCACAATATTCTTCCCTCCAAAATCTCAATCACCGTCTTCAATTGTTCGTCGATGCAAAATTCTAACAAGGTCTCTAGAGAATGATCAGTAACCTGGATTCCAACTATACTAAAATTCTCCACCTCTTTGATATTTCCCAGAACTTGTAATAAACTGCACGAAGACTGGTAAAACTTGACAAGATTGGAAGAGAGAGAACACAACTACGAGACAACACGAAGCAAGCAAACCCAAATCCCTTACAGCAAAAATCCCAACACAACTCCTCCAAGAACAGTCAAACTAAACTCAAATAATGCGACTGCGTAATGGTCCCTCTAAAGATGACAGCACCGAACCTGCAGCTGGAGAATGTACCGGCCACACACACACACACACAACTAGAGAAACAAGGGGAGGGAGAACGACGACGAGGAGGAGGAGGAGGAGGAGGATCACGTCATGTCCAGGCACTTCGTAACGCACAAAGACAAATCGACGTTACTAAACCTCCGCCCAGACTAAGACCACGCGACACCACCACCACCACCACCTTCACAGCCAACTCGGAACATGAAGCAACGCAAAACTCCACAGCACCTGCGACTCGCGGGGGATGGCGAGATGAAAGGAGGAGCGATGAAGAAGATGTGAAGCAAAGCGAGCGAGGAACAAAGCAAGTAATGAAGAAGAAGCAATGGAAGAATGAAAACCACGCACAAACCAAAAGCAAAGCATAGCGAAGCTAAACTAAGCTTTGCATGGCCTCGCTCCCTCCCTCCCTATCTCACTTTTACATTCATCCATTTTCTCATTCGTCGTCTATTGTCACTTCATTCATCTCCTTTGTATACTTCCCCTAGGGACATTCGCGCGGGTCGGGTTCACCCGGCTCGACCCGCGCGTTCTGTAGCGTGGCCCCCTTGAAGTGTAGTTTTTCATTGCATGTTGGAATCTCGCCTTCACTGGTTCTTCCTGCCCAGGAAATCCGGGCAGAACGGGCAGGTGAATGGGTACCGGGCAGTGAGAGAAACTCAAGCTGCCGCCACCAAAAAGGGCGGGGAGGGGGGAATCGGCACTTTTCCCGACGAGGGTTAATTTCGGGCAGATGGTGTTAAATGTTTCCATACTTATCTGTGCTGTTTTCACACTGACAACTGTTGATGCTTCGATTCGCCATCAACAATTGGCTCTATTCTTTGCTATTATTGCAACAGAACCTAGTTTTTCATGCAATTTAGACATTTTGGCTGATCTTGTGGCGCAATTGCTACATTTGCACGGATTTGCTGAAGTTGTAACCTAACTGATAATCTACGTGGCAGTTCTGTTTTCTTCACGAATTGGGTGTGGATGTGGAAATAGGGGGTGAATGCTGAGGTCAATGCCACGTAGGAAATGTGGCTGAGGTGGCGTGGTGATGTGGCACATGGGGAGGACCGTCAGTAGCATCTTATCAATTGGTACGCATACGTGGCGTAGAATGCCATGTCAGCAAAAATTTCGGTCGTGATAGTGGGTTTTTCTTTTTCTTTTGAAGGAAAATATGCCACCCAATCATTCAAATTTAATTATATCCATTTTAATATCTTATTGTTAATGTGATTGTGAAGCAAATTATATTATTTTTACAAGTGAGTGTTTTATTTTTATGTTTCCCTCTTCGTATTCATTAATTTTATTATTTCTTTGGTGTTTACTTGGTTTTGAAACATTAATCTATACTCTACTGAACTAGATCAAAATTATTCATTACTTTGTGCTCTTGTTTTATTCATTTTCTTCTTTTAAGTGTTTTTTTGAAATGTTTTTGTTAACCTGTCTCATTGAGAGTTGCATTGCTTTGACTTATCTACCTAACAAAAGTAAAAGTAAAAAAATAAATAAAAAATAAAAATCCCTGTGGTATCCTTTAAACTACATCAATGTATCAATGTTTCATCCTAAATTACCAAAAAAACCAAGTTACTTCCCATATCAAGTTGCATGTGTAATACAAATAAATAAATAAATAAATGAGTACATGACATCCACGGTAACTTTTGATCACATTGATTCCTCAAAAATTACACACACACACATATATATATATATATATATATATATACATACATACATACATACACCATCTACATTTCAAGTATTAGAGGTAAGGTAGTAACCAATTTAAAAAAAAAAAAAAAACCCAAAAAACCCAAAAAATAAGGACCATGTGATTTCACATATCACACATTCTATATATTTGTGGCCATTTTCTGAGCTATCACCTCAATCAATATGTTCAGTAGTGTTATATATTTTATGGGTTAAACTGGGAAGGAGGGTGGGCGTCCGGCTCATCCACCGTGCCCGTTCGCCAGCCCCAAGACCACAGTTCTCGCTTTCTGACCCTGTAACCGTGCAAAGTTGAGCTGCACGTCATTGGTTGATATGGCCCAATTAGGAGGAGACCTTGTTCCGTCAGATTCCAGAAGCTCCACCTCACAGGTTCTGAGTCTGGACCTCTAACCTCTAGCCACGTGGAATTTCTACTCACCACCACTGTTTTAGATGCTTCTCGAACATGCTCGAGGGCTCCACGTAAGCATATCGCTGCCACTTGAATGAAGTCGAACGCTAGTGATATCTGTCTTGGACAGGGTATCAATTCTAAACTCCAACTTTTGGGACCCTTCGCGGGCCAACCCGCCTTTTTGTGATTGGAGTTGCTTTATCATCCAAGAGGCACTGCTGTCTGAGGATATGTATGTATCTCTCTGTGTTGTGCTGGACGGATGAACGGATAGAAGGGTAGTAGATGGATGGAGTTAAATCGAATCGCATTACTGCCTATATTAGTTTAATGTTGATACCATGTCGAGGCTTGTTATGCTTGAAAAGATTAAGATAGAATAAAAAAAGTAAAAACGTATGGCTATGTAGTTATTTGTAAATGACCCATTCTTAGAATACAAAAATAATTTAATCATGTATATATATATATATTAGGGGGAAAAATTTTAAATTCTGTTTTTCATTCTCCTTACAAAAAAACAAAAAAAAAATTGAAGTTTTTTTTAACAATATAATAATGCTAGCTGTCATATCAGTGATGATTTAGTTCAAGAAAATTAATTTCTATTTTTCATGAAGTTTTTATAATAAGGAAGATACCAAATACTTCTATTGCATAATATATACGATATTTGAGATAATTGATACATTGGGCAATGTCCTTGAGATCATTTTTACATAATCCTTAGTGATTATTAAAAAAAAAAATTAAAGATAGTATTGATATAATGCATATTTATAACATGGCACATTCTACCTGATTTTTGTACCTTCTTCAGTGTATTTCAATTTCAAATTTTTAACAATGTAGATTAGAAGCATAATAGTATGTATAACAAATAACTTAGGAATTAAAGTAGACAGTACAACATATACAAAATAATGATAGATACCAATGTGAACTTCACTAAATATTTTCATATGATGAAGTAGTAATTAGTTTCACGTATTTGTTAATGAATACTTAAATCACTAAAATTGCAGAACGTGTAGTATTTAATATTAAAGTCTTCTGTATTTGCACTTTATTTACTTTTCTTTTAGGTTATTTTGAATTGCACCACTACATTGTCACAATCCTCACACACATTGTTTCATCCCAATTCATTTTTATTTGTATATTGCCTTGCTTTATGTTTATGAGCCATTGAGAAATAAAATAAATAAATAAATAAGCTTTCCTTTTACATATATAGGAGTAAATAACTGTATGCAAAGGCATCATCTATGTTTTTAATAATTATTTGTGGATATGTTCTCTTGATGAGAATTATTATTCCTTAGACCATTTTGAATATAAAAGTTTGAATTGTTTGAACTATGCAACCAAACAAATCTTCTCAAATAGAAGAATACAAATTATCAGACTTCAAGCATTTAAAGTTGTAATGGTTCTATTTTATTCATTTGTTTTATGGAACAGTCCACGTGTAATTTTTCATTAAATGAAAATTTATTTTAATATTTGATTCAAGAAAGAAAAAAGAAAAAAAATATGATTTTCTTGATACAAGTATTGACAGCAAACAATAATTTAATTTCAGAAACACACTCTCACACACACACACACCTAAAAATGAAAACAAGAACACAAATACACAAATCATTATACTGAATAATTTCTTCCAAGGTTTATCCGCCATAGTGTATATCTTGTTTCTTCCATTTTGAAAGAATGCAACAAGGAAAAGAGAACAACAAATCAAAAAACTAAGGTCATTATATAAGATTATAATATATTACCAATGGGTTTACAAAACAAATAATTTATTTGATATTAGTCTATCTTGTGTTTAAACATCAACAACATGTCTCATTACTGTGCATTAATTAACCCATTTTATCATTATTCCTTCTTTCTTGACGCAAGATCACAGGTTATCTATGAATCAAGTATTCCACATAAATAAAATACACATTACGTCAGAAAATTGAGCTAAATTCAAAAAGTGGGAACTTAGCACGAGCGAGCACATGATTAACCAGAATGGGCTTGTCAGATGGACGATTAAATGATGGACGGACAGGCAGACAGACGGACACCTGCAATGAATGAACGAGCATCGGAATTCGTGCAGCGACGTCGAAGAGAAGTTACTTTGGCGGGAGCCTCGAAAAGGCATCTTGGGCAGCGTCAGCATTGGGCGGGAAAAAAGCCCTGGCGGCGGAAGCAAGAGCCACGTGGCCCTGAACCATTCGACGCGTGACTGGCCGCCCTATCTTCCGAGATGCGCTGGCGTGGCATTATGTTGAGAACATGGGGAACATCAGTTTCTGACTTGGTTCTCAAAGTTCCCATCAACAAGAGTTCCCTTCACCATTTGATCATGGGTACGTGTTCCCTACAAACCAAGGATGATGTAAATCAACCAAGGTTGTGAAAGCACATACAATTTGTATGTATTTTGTCCATATTGTGTAAATAATAGTGAAATAAAACATATTGTCAAGATTTTTTTTTTAAAACTTATGTAATATGTTGCGGATTCAATATTTTAGCCTTAATTGTAATGCACAATGTCCATGATAGCTACTTTTCTTTTCTTTTTCTTGTGTTTGTTATTAATATACTTACAATTATGTATATCATTGTACTTTTAAAATGTATATCATGCTTATATTTATTTGCAGGGTATTTCTATTGCTGTCATAATTTTTTCTCCTCCCACCACAATTCCCCATTTATCACATATCACTTTTGTTCAAAATCTTTCAAATCAATATATATATATATATATATGTACACATTCTTCAAACCATTTGATTGAACATGTTTCATGATTAGAATAAAAATAAAAATAAAAACGAAATTATGTTGGATGGGTGATGGCAATAACAAGTACTGTGGTGGCATCTGCGGTATTATATTTATTTATATATATATATACTTTTTTTTGTTGCATGTTGTCAAACAAAAAGAAATGTTGTCAAAATTTGATTCATAATTGATGATAACAAGATTCGTAATTAAATATAAATATAATTAAATAAGTATTTATTTATTGTATTTTATTGTCTTTAATCTAGAACAAAAGCAGATACGTGTGGATGATTACTCTGTCGTTTTAATTTTGTATGTACTGTAAAAGAAGTCTTAATGCAAAATTTGTTACAGTTGTCATAAGAACTTTCAACAGTGTATGTTATATTTCTGCAATATAATGGGTCTTAATGTAATAAAAGCATTGTGACGTGCATGTTCCTGTTTAAATATATGCGTTCATAAATATATATTATGTGTGTCTTTTTTACACATATTAATTTTTTTTATGAAAGTATTATTATTATTATTATTATTTCCCTGTTTTTTTTTTTTTTTTTTTTTATAAAATTGGTAATATCAATAATAATAAAAATGATTTTAATGTATACAAATGCAATAAATCGGAAAAGTGATATTTATTGCATTTGTATACATTAAATCATAAAATATCTTCAAGGAAGAAAAATATAGTATTTTTACATTTCAAGAGTAAAAAAGGTGAAAATTAGGGTTCACTAATAATCAAGGCATAAATACTAATTGTTATGTTTTGTAATTATATTTTGGATTTTAACTAGATGGACTATTAAAATGTTGCACAATTACATTGCATTATATTGAAAATATTTCACAAATTGATAAAGTAAAATTTGTGACTAACAAACAAGCCAATCACGTTTTCTTTTTAATTGCAAATCACCTTGAATTTTTAGATAAATTTGGTATATCTTTTTACATTTTGATGTAAATAATATCTACCCAGTGTTGGGCATTGAATAACAATCAATGAGCCTAAATGTTAGAGACTTAAGATTGTTAGTTTTAATTTAATAGAAAATCTCTTTTGGTATGAATAATTGTATGTAATGTTATTTTGCACAAATATAATCAAGTATTGTTAGAAAAGATGACAATAGGAATCATTCGATTCATGCATACTATTATAATATAAATAAATAAATAAATAAGTTTAATAATAAAAAGACTAGCTTGTAATTGAATTTTGTTGTTATAATATAGTTGGAAGTCTAAACCTTTGTGTTGAAATAATTGTAAGAATGGCATTGTTTAAACAAAACACATTTACACATCACATTTTCTAAATTGAATTTGATTCAAAAGTAAATAAATTTAGCATATTTTAGTATTTTTTTATTCATGTTGATTCTTCAATCATTTCATTAGTTTATTACAACGAGTTTTTAAAGTAAATTATCATCTATTATTATTATTATTATTATTTAAATGACCGATACATAGATAAATTGATCACATGTTTGAAGTGATAACATTATAGTTTATTCAAGAAAAGCAGCATTAGGCTATTATTCTATGAATTGTATTATCATAAGGGAATTTGATATATTCCATTAATTTTACACATAAAACCTTACTGGTATTACATACAAAGTAATAAATCTGTTTCAAAGATTTGAATAGAGTTTACTAACACTCTTTAAATCATATTATGTAATTTTTTGTAGAAAAATGAATCAATATTAATATGAAATAGACTATTCTTTTTTCTCAAGACAATTGATTAAAAATATATACTTATATATTTTTATAGTATATTCATATTACTTAGTAAGAAATCTACACGCTGTGAATGCTAACTTCACAATTTAGGATAAATTTGAGCTTTATGTATTGGGTTTGCATGTATTTGGTTCTATTAAACCTGAAGCAATTATAATCATGTCTCTTTAATCTAGTTTGAGAGAGAGAAAAGAAAAAGGAAAACGAAGAAAAAAAGGAAGTAAGAAGAACAAAAAGAAGAAGAAAGAGAAAGAACTATTACCACTAAATAACATTTATGTGGCCTGACAAATAACTATTCATAAGTGAAATGGTTCTTGTTGTAATTGTTAATAATTTTGCAGTAAACAATCTTTTTCACTAAATTATAAATAAGTGTCTAAAGTGGAGGATTACACCAAGCATGAAACTCTCTTTAATATTTTTTTTATTAGATAATGAGCTCACATATATTTTATGTCAATGAAAATGTATATATATATATATATATATAAGTATTTTCTTTTTACATTTTCATTTTAGATTAAAATTAACACAGAAAATGAACAAGAAAAAAAGGAAAAAAGAAGAAAAGAAAACCACATTGATAATTGCACTTAAAATATATACAAATACAATCCCTTAAATAAGTGTGAAAACGTAGCATTTGTTACAAAAAAAAAAAAAAAAAAAAAAAAAAAAGCATTATCCTTGGAAGTCATTGGAAATAAACTTACTCTAAAGTATTCCTTATTTAATATTTGAGCCATGAATATTTGGATTCATGCATACCACTGTAACAGATGTGTGCGTGTGTATATAAATATATATATATATATATATATGCATGTTTTTATTGTGAACTTTTACAACTTGGGCTATTTACTCTTGTCAAGCATGAAAATTTTGCAACTTTTGGTGGCAAGTAGTTTTGCTTTAAAAATCCACCATGTCAAATTTGAATTCTACTCACTTTCGTAAATTAATACAACAGATTATTAAACTCGGAAAAAACGAATTCTAGAAAAATAAAAAATTATCTTGAATTTATTTATTTATATTTTGGACAATGGCAAAGAGGAGAAATTGTACCACCAGGGCCATAAGTCTATGACAGCGAGCTACATTATCATGCTGAGTTGGACTGACAGATAGACTTGTGATTCAAATTCAAACAAACTCTACGTTATCTTATATTAAAAATTTATGAGGAATTCTTAGTTAGTAATTTATTTATTTATTTTTGACTTCCAAACATTTTTCTTTGCAACAATACACAGTATTTCAATTGCTCATTAACTCTACTTCTTTCCTTCCTTCCTTCCATTGCAATGCATATCACATAACTTTGTATTAGGTCTTGTATGAAAATAAATTCATATTTGTTTAATTTTACGTCATTAATCAAATTTATTTATTATATTTACAACATTTGTTTTAGTAGTAGACTTCATTTTTTTTCCATTTTGTTATGATTATTTATTTTCAATTTTTTACTTTAATTTTTTTATAATGTCATCCAATGAAGTACTTTCCTTTACAAGTTACAACAATTAAAGCAAATTCCTCATTTCTATTCATTGCACAAGATCCAATGAATTTTTTTCTTAGAACAGAAAATAACCCATTGGTCTCAAAAAATGTACCTTTCTGAACAAACTTCAACATCTTACTCTAATCAATTGTAACCAACTTTGATAGTCTTCTCACGTGCAATTTGTGGTGTGCAGAAACAAAATTTGAGGGCATGTTCAATATTTTCATTACAATAGTATAGAGTCATAGTGGCTTAAATTTTAATTTCTTCAATTCTGGTTATCTAGTGTAGGCACCAACCAGTTGAGAGAGCCAGAAATTAATGCCCTAATGGAAAAAAATAAATTAAATTACACCCAGTTCACCAGCAAGTTTGAGGATACCTGGTGGGGTACTTTTACTTTTACTTTAACGTAACTATGATCGAGATTCCCAATAAAGCTGACTGGACAAGTGGTGGAGGGCTCATGACGTGGCAGGACAGCAAAGGAACCCCAGACCCAAGCCCGGCGTGGCCTCGGTGCCGACGTGGCGAGGTGTGGGGACGGGAATCATTGGCCGGGTCGGGTGGGCAGCAAGGCCGATATGTATAATGATGGCGTGGCCCTGTACAATACGACAACCCCACGGGAAGGAAGGTAGGAAGATAGTTACGCACACATTCACACAGAGACAGACCCCCTCCCCTCGTGTGCCCAATGAGGAGGCTCTTCTTGCCGCCGGGTCTGCTTCCACTACCACGGCTGGAGATACTCACCTGTATACCGCATTCTATACACCAAGACAAAGCGCACGGCTCCATTACACGAAGAAGCAGTGGAAGGCGAAGACGACGACGAAGAAGAAGAAGGAGGAGAAGGGGATGTAAGGAAATTTACTGCGGATTTGTCTACGAAATGCAAGTGATTGGCTAGTGAAAAGCTTGGTCAGAACTGACGGAGTTGTGGGTTGGAATTCTGGAGCTAGTAGTGGTGTATCAGAGATATATGGCTGGGAGCCTCAGCTTTGATCCACATTAAAAAAGGGGTTTCTGTCTGCTTTAGTTCTCAGGGGGTTCTTCAGTGGTGGTAGAGAAAGACGGGAACTTTCTAGAAGAGTCGGGGTTTCTCTTTTTGAAGCCAGTCGGATGTTCATTAGCCAGGTTTCTGTAGTTTTCTACCCCCCCCCCCTTCCCCAAAAGTTATGACGAGTGGTCGACATTGTTTTTTGTAATGACCACTGTTTTTCTCCATGTGGCACCGTCCTCCTGGCATCTGGTATCTAACCTGGCAAGGCTCCAAATGCATGTGAAGGAAGCAACAAAAGAATAATGGCAACCATCACCTTTGATCCTCGCAATGGCGCTCACAAGTACACCTACAAACTTCACAAACTCTGCTGTGAATTGAGTCACAAAAAAGTGCTTGGATAAGTGGAATGGATGGTGAGATAGAGGGGACGAATCAAATGCTGTCCTGCCTATTTCCACCGCCATTCTATTAGTGGTAGCTGCATTGGTCACAGGTAGGGGAATCCTATTTCGATCCTTTATGGATGGATACTTAAAGTGTGTGAACTTGAAGGAAATGGGGACCAAGGGGCGCGAACTCCTCCGTGCTTTAAATCGTCGAATCTCACCTTTCATTCAGTTTGCTGAGGTCGCAAGATTTGTTTGCGCTGCGTATAGTATTGGAACATATCTATATATTTCCGCATTTGGAGATACAGTCGGCTGGGGGAAAAAATGCCTCCTTATAAATGTGAAGGTCCACATTTCATGTACACAAAGAATACTCTCGGGCTCCTTAGGTGAGGAAAAGCTGCTATTTCATCGAGGATCCAGAGACTTGAAAATCAAATGACACGCGAACTTAAGTGCTCGTGGCTCACTGACACGTATCCAAGCATTCTGAGCCAAGGAACAATGAAATGACATGGATGTTTGGACACGTGCATGTAGAGAATCCAGACTGCTTGTATTCAATGTTGATAATCCTACTTACATGCAAGAAAAGAGGAAAAAGAAAAAAAGATGTATTTTACTGTGGTATCAGCTCTTCAGAAACCTTCATAAAAAGGAATCGATTCACTGCTGTAGGGGCATAATCACCATACTAGCTTCAAATCTAGTATATGATCATAAGAACTAGCAAAAGTCCACCTGGAGTTGCTGGAATCACGTGGTTGATACCAGACGCCAACCATTGTCACTGTTGTCAAAGCATTGAACAAGGCACAGTTGCTCATAATATTCGAATCGATCGAGAGGTCTGTGCTTCCATGACGAACTGTTCCAGGAAGTCGAAAGATTGCCGACGTGTGGTGGGTCGATAGTGCGGTAGCGTGTATACTGTATATTCGGTTAACAGCAAGATGTTTTAACGATCTATATTCTACAACTGACTCGCCACTGTAAGAGCATACCAATTTCGGTATCCAAGTAAAACGCGCCTTTTAGTTTCTCGTTGTAGAGACGGAGTCGAACTTGTTAGTATAATATTCACCACGCCGGAAGCATGAAATGCATTGGTCATTTTTGGCAATGATCACAAATGCCATTCTGGGGCTCTACGCCATCAACTTCTCTGCTTCTTCTCACTTTATGTTCACATAAATTGAAGTTTCGTATGCCTGCTTTACGAACATAGGCCACGGTTAGCCAACTGCAATACAGACAGGATCTCATCCACTCCACTACTTACAGACTTTTCCTTGGTACCAACAATTGAATGCACCAGCCATAAATGGTTTTGATTTCCATTGCATAGAGAAACAAACTTCATCTATGAGGGAGATAGATAATTACCTTGATTGTCAAGTTGACATGATTTGTGGCAGTTCAACAATAGTCCGTGTAACAATACGCGAACGCAGAACTGCCCGAGTACAACTTTTCAAACTGGAAGGCACCGTGTGACGCTGTCAGAAACTCAGCCCAAGATGAAAAGCGTAGACGGACCAAGCAAGCTCCTCGAAACATACTTTACAGAGGTTAGCAGGTTCCTCAAGTCCAACCTCTTAACGAGAGTGGAATTTCGATATTCAATTTAGTAGGCAGCCCGTAAAAGAGCCATAGCGTTTGGATTCTTCGAACATGGCGCAGTCAGGTTAATCCATCAAAGGCTCCGGCAAACCCACAAGAAGTAGGCGAACTTCGAGAATCCCCCTGGAAAAGGCGCTCATGAAAGGTAGTTGGGTGAAGCATTCAGCTTTTGAAAGAAATTGGTGCTTTCAAACTTGAGTGCGCAGACCACTTGCATTCGGCTTACAGCGCGGGGCTTCTTCGGCGCCGGAGGGCAATGGTCGATATCCACGACAGGAACTCTATGCTTCCTCGATTTTGGCGTCACAAACGCAGACATCTGCAAACAAGCTTCTTCGCCTTCCCCAGCCAAGGCTTCATCCAATGCCCGAGCTTTCTCGAGGGACACTCCCTTCTGCGTGGTACAAGAACTCTCAGACTTGGAGCTACTACTGCTTGCGCGCATTGCCTCCTGAGTAGTAGGCTGTGATACCCAGCTGTCAAGAGCCATACGTTTCTTCCCAGCCACCGCGGCCTTCGACTCCTGAGATTCCTTCTGGACCATCGCGCTGCACACTGCTGCGGGGGGCGCCATAGCTATACTACTCAACTACCCCGATTCACAATTTCCTCCGAAACGAAAAAAGAAAAACTCACAAACCGGCCAAACGCTGATAAACGCACCTCTCTAAAATCCCCAGAAGAAAAAGCTCAACAGAGAAACAACAACAATCTCAATCTCTCAACTCCAATGAAGTATCTCCTCCACAACTCAACACTCAATCGCACCCGTAATTGCGAGTACCCATGTACTCAACGCATACAGGAAAAAAAAAAAAAAAAAAAAAAAAAAAAGAGCTTAACTCAGGTAATAGTAGTCACAGCAGCGAAACTCCTCCCCCCTATTCGGAACTGTGTAAAACCTCGTAACAGAAACTAAAAATATCACAGCGAAATGAGCAGGAGAAGAGGTAAGAGTTAGAATATATATAAATAAGGATGAGTGGAGGAAGTGAAGAAGGAAGGACGAGGGTGATGGCGTGGAGGATCTACGAAGAAGAAGAAGAAGAAGCATCTGTGGTGGTGGACTATATGATTATATGTTCTCTATCCCATCAGCACACAATGAATATGAAGAAGCCTACTTGCACACTCGGCTGGGACTGGCTCCACCCGGGCCGTCGGGCTCCGCCGGACCCGCGCACCTGCCTGCCTGCCCTATGGCTCCAACGGGCAGGTGAGGCAGGAGGGCGGACAGCTTCGCCGCCGCAAGGGCAGCCGTGGTGTTGATGACCGTGCTGCCCGGTTCTTAAATTTCCTTGCCTACCTGCTTCGTGGGGTTTCTCCACTTTTATGTACACTGCCTTTTTCTTTTCCTAGATTTTCTTTCACTGATTTTAGATGGGGGCGAGGCGGCTAGAAGAGTATCTGGTGGAGTAGGGTTGACTAAATTTGGCGTCGTTGAGAGTGGGTTGCCTCTACATTTAGCGGGGAGAGTAGTAATGCTTCATTTAATGGCCACTTCTTCATTTAATTGGAAGTGGGGGTTCCATTCTTTTTCGCCTTTTCGGCTTATGATTGGGCTTCACAAGTTGGGGGAATCCATTGCGGAGCGCCCCCAGTTCCATGGACAAGTTGGAAATGTATTGTTCTACCTCATTACGTATATATATATATATATATATATGTGTGTGTGTGTGTATATCTAATGATTGACATTGATTCTGATCCTTGAACGAAAACAGAATAATAGATATACACTAACTTGATAAGAAACAATGTGAGCATGTGAGAAACAATTCTTATCTTTGTGCTTGAGTTATGGTAATTATTGTGCTCAAAAATCCGAAAATAATATTGGCTTATTTTCGGAGGTAAAATTCATTGCAAAAATTACATCAAGAACATTTGTAGTATCTTTTCTCTTTATTTTTTCTTTATTTTTTCTCCTAATATAGCAATATAATTGCATTAGAAAACTGGAAAACATCTGGTATCTTAATTAAACTTGGTTCTTTTTAAAATAATTAAACAATACAAATACTCACAAGTTTTTATATCTTAAAACAATGTGCCAAGGGCCACTCAAAATACTTTTTATGTGCAAGTTTGGGTTAGTGTACAAATGCACATTCAACCGTATAAATCTTATTAACATAATGCATATTGAAGAATATTCTAATACTTGTGAAACTTCATAATTTTTTTGATGTATTCTTGAGGCACTATTAGAATTATTTATTTATTTCTCTATTGACATAAAAATGAAAATAAGTAACATTATTTTGTTCCTGTTTGTACAACACAAAAATGAAATACCTTTTATCTTTTTTTATTATTAATGTGGTTATTCTATGATTATTACAATTTGTGATACTTGTTACAATAATATCTCAAACAATCTCCATTCAATTTATTGTCTATCATATCGTATTCTGTGTCCAATTCATGTTTTGCACTATCCTTGTAGAGATCTCAATGTGTCTTGGTCTTTGGAAAAGACCCAACACACATGAACCCAAAAATAAAATGCTCTAAATCTCCATGCTTAGGATTTTAGCATTTTAAAGTATTCTTTTTTCAAATTAAATGTAAAGTAATCACACACACACAAATATATATATATATATATATAACATCATTTGTGGGTTTTTTAAAGAAATATGGTTGATATTAGTTTTTGCATTATCCACCACCACCAAGCATTGACATAGCATCACCAACAATCATTTTCCATACATTGTTGACTCTAGTGTGACTACAACCAATCCATCCTTTGATTCTATGCTTTGGAGCAATACTTTGGTCAAAAATTCTTGGTGCACAACAAAATTGACTTTGAAGATAATACATGATGAGAACTAATCCATATAATTGAGATCTCAATTATGCCTCATTATTCAAACTTGCATTATTGCCTTGCTCGACTTGTTGCATGATTTGTTATCCATAATTCCCATTTGTAATGTCTCCCTTCTAGTGCCTTCCATTGAATCTCTCTCTCTCTCTCTCTCTCTCTCTCTTTTCTAGATTTGATAAGACTTTGTCTATTGCTTATCTTTAGATATTATAGTGTGGTTAAGAAGTATCAGCACACAATTATAAAATTTAATCAAAATTAGCAAATGCTAAGTATATTCTTCAGTTAGGTTTTTGGGGATAACCCAGAGTGTCATGCTGGATGGTTGAATGAATCATTCTCATGACAATTGTCATCTGCTGGAGAAGAACAAATTCAGTATATTTTTTTATTTTTTATAAAATATATTCATACATTATCAAAATCCAATTCCAACTTTTAAATCAGTCAAAAGGAACCACAAAAAGCATTTTTGAATATTTTATCTATTTTTTTCCAAAATTTATTCCCAACGAAACACCTTGACTCAAATTAAGCCACGAACACCAACTCATACTTGTGGAGACGAACGCTCCACAGCTTTTCCATCTTCTTTTTTTTCTTTTTTTTTTTTTTTTTCAGTTATTTAAATAATCAAAGAATCAATAATCCAAGGAAGGGGCCCCCAGCGCTAATCCCAATGCGATCGTCTTGTCCAATCAGCGACAGACTCGGTCCACGTCACCGGCCAAGGTCATAGGCTCCATCCCCCGCGCCCGCCTGGAGCCATAGGAGCCACAAGCTCGCTGTCTCTAAGTCCAAGTGAACGCTGTTCCCAATGGAAAGGGAACCACAACCAGCCTTAGCAGCGGTGGCTGTGATCCACAAGTTCCCATCGCCAGCAATTGTTCTCCAGCTCTTCCTTCGCAAAGCCTCTCAAAATCTTACCCTTCCTTCCACCATCCACAAAACCGTCTTCCGTTCTGCGGTATTTGTCGTTGTCTACGTGGCCAGAGACAATTCCGCAACCGGTCGACTCGGGGAGGGAGTTCAAATTAAGTGGATGGATGAATATCATATAGGATGAGTCGTCATCTGCCATGTCACCCTTTTCAACTGGCCAGCTCCTCCTCACATCACATGAGTGGATGGATGAAGTTATGTTCCCCTTTTTCGTCCTCTCTTTTTCATTCCCAAGTAGAGATATACTTTATATATACATTCAAGTTCTATTTATTATTTTGTTATGGAATTGTCAATGGAGCCTCACATTAGGAACCTGAATGGATGAGAGAGGGAGCCCTTTTGTTTTTTTCTTTCTGGTCACCCAATGAGGCGAAGGGGAGGAAAACGAGGTGCCGAGTCATGGAGGAAATATTTAAAAGGCATGAATGATGCCAACAGCATTCTCTTAGTTAATAAATGGGGAAGTGGGGCATTTAGGGTGTGGAGGTGCTTCCACTTGGATAACACTCTTTCTCTCCATATGTAGGTGGCCCTAATATTTTATTGGGCGATGACAGCAATTCGATGACGTGGACGCCGGCACTGACTCCAATTCAGGGCTTATTCCCTGATATAGAGTAGATTTTGGCCAACCTTGCCCCTGCAATTTGTCCCAAAAGCTTGAAGACCAAGTTTTCTAAATAAAAATCCCTTGACTCTTTCCATGTCATGAGATTAGCACAAGGAGAGCTGAGAATGTTTTCCTCTTCTCTAATGAATCAATTTGACCCTATCCTTCTTCTATTTTTGCAATTCTGTTGATAGTATGACTACTACGTTTGTTTTACATCAGCATCCTAACTTTACAATGTACCCAGGTTATACTAGTGTAAATAATTATGATCAGTAAACTATTTTCAAAACTTCGATATGTTAACCTTAATGAAAGTTCGAATGTAAATTCAGTAATGTCTGTGTTTGAGATCATCATAAACATGTCTCAAACATCAGATGTATACAAAATATATGCTAGTCTTGAACAAAAGCATAGTTATTCTAAGCTCTCAAACTTGCCCTCTATAGAATGAATGTTGATTTGAATATTTATTTGAGAGCAGAGGAAAATGTGATGGAAGTATCCCACTTGAACAAACTTTGAATTTTCAAGTGAAAATGAGATATAAAGAGTGAGTTAACTATAAAAAAATCTTTATTGTTATTAAAATGATGATATATTTTTTTTGGATCATTATGTATATATAATGGCATTAAAATTTCTTCAAAAATATACTTGCAGAACAATACATATCTTTTAAACATGTCGGTTTTAAAACCTTAAAAAACAAAAATCTATTTTACTTTATATTTTGATATAAATTTAAGGGCCTTACCACATCAAGATCCCATATCTCATGAAGATTGGATTATAAGTTAGAGTTTTGTTATGCCAATATATATATATATATATATATAATAGGGTTGAAAATATAGTAACTCTATAAAATTATACATTTTTTTGTTTGTTTGTTTGTTTGTTTTTTTGTTTTTTTTGTTTTTTTTTTCCATCATAAATTCTCAGAAGTTTTTGTTCATAAAAATCAAAAAAAAAAAATCCATCATTTTTTCAATATCGTTTGAGCAGAATTTATAATATAATAGAAGATAATTATACATATTTTTAACCAAAGATTTGAACCTAATTATGCATCTTAAATGAAAAAAAAAAAAAATACAATGATTTGAATTTATTTAGATGGTATGCTATAGATTATGATGTTCCAAATGTCTTTATCTTCAAAATCTAGTTGATACTTCTCTTTATCCACACGCCAAATCATGTATAAGTAGAATGTATAATATTATGCATATATTATTTGTCTAATTTGTTCCTTTTGCAAAAAAAGTGCCTTGGATTTGCATAAAGATAGATATCAAAAGACAAGTTCATCTTTAAACATAAGGAGATAGTTTAAAATCAAGTAATTATTATTTGGTCTTGCATGCTTAAGGTCATTAGCTCTCCATTTGTAAGCTTTGGTGAGCCACTTCCAAATTTTAGATTTAGTAGTAAACTTAGTTAATAATTTTGTCATTGAAAAAAATATTATTCTTTAATATATATAATATTTCTACTATAAAATATTTTTGTGCATTGAAATTTATTATAATTATTATATATTATATAATATTCTATGTCATAAATTTTCATGTATTTACCATCTTGTGTTTTTGCCTTTAGTTTTTATAACATTGGTAATTTATTAATATACAATAATGATTAGCTTCTTAATAATTTCTACATCAATTGTACCATTAACCTCTAAAATCTTTTCCACAAAAAGGCTTTATTTATAGACTTATTTGTAATATAAAATAATTGCTTGTCCATCTCATCCTATAAGTGCTCAATAGAATTTAGATCTAGTAGCTAAGGTGGCTACTTTATCAAATCTAACTCTTTCTTATTAAATCACAAAAATAAATAAATTATAGTAATGTTTTGGATTGTACTTTTATTAAAAGATGATAATTTGCAAGTTCATATATTGCCTTACAATAGCATTAAGGAGCTTAGGTTTCTAAATATCTTGATAGATTTTAAAATATTTAATCTTATTGATTTTATGGATGTTACTGACATTCTTCTAAATTACGCATTTCTAAACTATGACATTCCAACTTCTAAGGCTTATTGTGCTTTAGATGTTTTGCTTGCCAACAACATCATTGAATTGCCTTTGGAATCATTGCTATCAATCCAACCTAAAGACATTGATTTTTAATTTATTCAATCATATGTCAAGATTATGAATTAACAAAAAAAAAAAAAAAAAAAAAAAAAAAACAAGACACTCATGTGCCACTTAAGAAGGTAGAAGGTAAAAAAAAAAGATAGAAAATACATAGAATCAATATTTTTTAAATAAAAAAAAGCTAAAGATTCTTGAACCAAGACTAGGATATAAGATAGACATTGATAAGACTAAGGATATTCTCTTTCTTATTTTTATTTATATTAGCTATTAAGAAGGTCTTGTAGAAGCCTCTAAAGGACCAAGAGACTTGTGGCTTAAGCATCAAGTTGTAGATTGCCTCCAATACAACTTCTTTAAAATATGAAACTTATAGGATAATTTCAATGGCCATGAGACAAATCTTTAAAATTATAAATATCTAATTTGTATCTAAGAAACCTCTTTAAAGCTTCTTAAGAAAGATATTTTCTACTTAAGATATTTAACTTATTTTTATTTACTTAATTAATATAGAAATTTTTTATACCACATTACTTTCTTTCAAACTTTCTTATTCTAATTCTTATGCTTTTTTGGCCATGCCATTTTTTTTTTTTTTTTTTTTTTTTTTTTTAATTTTGTCTCTTTTTTCCAACAAAGGCTTCATTTGCTTCACCAAGGCAGCAAGTCCTTGAATCAAAGTTTGTTTTGACAAATTCATGTTATTGATCTTGTCAAAGATGCATGCCATTTCATATGCCATATGGTCTTTTGATTTGTTAAAGATAGAAATAATGCTCTATTCATCAAGTTTATTAGGTAAGCTTGGTTGACCAAAGCATGGACTATTAGTAACTATTTTAGACCTTAAAACACTCATATAGATCCCAGAGATAGTGCTATAATGGATGCCTAGGCGTTTCTTAATATCTCAATTCACAAGGTCTTCTTCTTTTAAAGCAATCAATTAAGAGCCCTATTACTAAGTAATTTTGAGTATTTTGTAAAGAACAAGAGCTATTTTAAAAACACATAGAGAACATGACAATATAAATAGATAACATATTTAAGAGAAATGTTGATAGCAAAATTGTCTTGAAGTTGTCCACTCTTTTTAAGAATGGACAAAATAAAGATTGTGTTTTTTTAAAATTATTATTATTATTACTATAGCCTACTTGTGGGATTTGTTAGGTTTAGCCTACATGTGGGGTTGAACATTACATGCCTTTATTTAAAGACAATCTATTTCAAAAATTTATTTATTTCCTTATTATTAAGAAATTCCTAATTATTTATTTAATGGTACACATTGCCTTCATGGATCAATTCTTATTATATTAAATAAGTATTAGAAGCAAGAAACTTGCCAACTAAATGAATACTATTTTAAAACTTGCCAACTAAAAGAATACGTGTAAAACACCAATATTTTAATTTTTGTTTGATTCTGTAAATTAAAAAATTACCAATTACTAAGAACTTTGGTGATCTATCTAACTTTGTACTAATTCTACACAATTTTTTGGGTCCACCATAAAGTAGAATTTTAAAAAAATTTGTATGTTTTTTTCTTTTAATATTATTGAATTAAAAAAAAATCTTTCAATTTTTTTCACAAATAATATGTTATGTAACCTTAACGATGTTATTTATATAAACATAATCATTTATATTTTAATATTCAGTTTAATAAACACTGTGCTATAAGTATCAATTATAAGCAGAAGGACTGATGCAATTTTTAGAATACAAATTGTTATGGGAATAACACACACACAAATTTATAAAGTATTGAAACATTATGCAATGTATGTGTGTATTCTAAATAAAAAAAAATAGAGGAGATAAGTAAAAGATCATAATATTTTTAGGATCTTGCAAAGTATATCTTGATGTATGATTTGTAAATATAAATAAATAAATAAATAAATATATACACACTACGACTACTACCACTACTTGGTTGGAAGGATTTAAATAATAATAATAATAATAAACCAAACACGTCCAAAATTTCGAAATTAATAAGAACTATATTTCCACACAGCATTCATAACGCAACATGCTCTGTCTGGCTTCCGAGTGGTCACAAAGCTTATAAATTCGCCTAATTCTGCTGACAAGGATCAGGGCGCAAGGATTGTCTAGGTAGGCAACAAATTCTGCCGAATGAAAATATGGGGAATGGGAAATTAATGAACGACATGGAATAATGGTTCATCCGAAGAATGGGCGTGCTTATGACTCCCTCAGACTCCCTCACTCACTCAACCCCACGTTGTCTGCGTTCACACCGCATGGGTGCATGCAGGTCATCTGTTATGGGGAACGCCATTGAATGCAATTCGCTTGAAGGGGAACGCACAGGGAACTCGGAGGGGAACGCCAGATGCATTGAATAAAGAGGGTTTTTTTTTTTTTTTTTTTTTTTTTTTTTTGACGGGAAGAGAGCATTGGAGGCAGGGTCATGGCCTTGTTTGTTTAATTGTTTATGGAATTGTTGTGTGTCTGTCGTCTTTGCAATTTGTTTATTAGGTTGTCAGCTCCGCCTCTCTCTCTCTCTCTCTCTCTCCCGTGCAATTTAAGAAGCCGGATGATGTATTGTTGTTGTTCCGGTGCTCGTGGCAGAGCTTATGGACCATGGTCGCGCCTGTTGATGAGCTAGAATGATGTCGTGGATTCAATTCCTCGAGGCCAGTGCCAATTCCATCCTCTCTCTCCCTCACACTGGAATCAGCCTCATGCAAGCCTTGAATAATGGACGTTGAATAAGAGTCACCGTTCTGCGTGGACGAGTTTGTGTGTTGTGGCGTTCGTAATCATGATGCGCTGCTAGTACGACGACGCTGCTCCGAAACTCACCAGTGTGGAAGAATGTATTGAGGAATGTATTGAGACGTTGAACAAGCGTTTATCGGTTCATTAAGGTATTGGGCTTAATAATTCCGTTTCATGACAAATTTCCGACATTTCGTACGTTTGAATTTGATGACCAAAATCCTCCGGCAGAGTGTGAGCTGCACATCAGAACATGTGATTTATAGTTTGTAGGAGAATAAGTCCAAAAGAGGAGTAAATACATCGAAGGTTATGAACAATCAATAAATGTGTTTTTATCCAATGTCATTAACAAAGGAAACCAACATCGTGAGGGATTAAGTTTTAGAATATGGTCCAAGTTCGTGAAATCAGTTGATGCCAACTATATGAACAACTGATTGAGAAAAACAACGAAATTCTTAAACAAGATTTAATGTTCTGATGAAATCCAATGGACAAAGGATACCATAATCACAAATTGAATCCTTCGTTTGCATGTCGTCTTCCCAAAGATCTACCAATTACTCCAATTTTCCTGTCATAATACAAAGCCTGCATTCAATTGATTTGATAGAATCGTGATGGGAAGAAAAGCTGGATAACACTACAAAAACCTGAGACTCTTGGTCTTTAGTTCTACGTTCTACAGGAAGAAAAATTCGCAGTCAACGTGTAGGTCTTGTAAGCTATCTTCGACGAATCGAATGAAACTCCTAAGCTATCCCTAGGATGGTGTTGATTGCCCCGATGATGTTCACGGGACGCCCCTCGTACAGCGCAGAAAGGCTTTTTTCCACATACTCCTTGACTTCCCGAGTTCTCTTCACAGCAAAATCCTGCTCACACAAAACACAGTCATCAGTTCTAGCCAATGTTCAGCGACCCAATAGCTTCGATCCGTTACCTGCGGGAGTTGGTTCATTGTCAATGTGAGAACCATACCTGTTTTGACCACAAAAGCGTCAAGGAATTCCTAAGTTCAGTCCGCTTTTGGCTCAAGTCCCGTAGACTTGCAAGAAGCTTCTTTTCACTCTCCTTCTTCGACGCCAACGATAAGTGTAATCTATCTAAGAACCTGCAAGATTTAAATATCAGCAATAATATAATATGTTCTTCAATGATTTCCAAAGAGGTTACGGCAGGGGTTCAGAGAATTTAGTCAGTTTTTTTAAAAAAATCCCTACCTAGAAGATGTAACAAGCAAGCAAAGTTCCCTGGTCTTCTGAGCAGTGAGCAAATCGATAGCAGCAGTGATGTGAAGAGCCATGTCTCGTAGAGCATCCGAACCATGCTGGAAACAGGCTGCGGGAGCCATTGCTTGCACCTGGTTCTGAAGTGCTGCCGTTTCCTGTCTCTCCAGCTCCTCCACCCTTTGCTTCAAAAAAGCTTTCAGCTGCAACACAGTAATATGATTACAGGAGCCTCACAGATGTTGCCATAAAGCAAGCAATAGAACTGGGAAGAAAATTAAAGGAACTTGGGGTGTTCTACAACATTTGTCCCTCCAAAGCACATGTTTCTGTTACAAATGTAAATTCTATGCAAGCGACCAAACACACACCAAGAGAAGACACACACGTCCACAAACCGCGGATTCAATCATATAATTTCGCCTCAGACACCCCGGAGTCGCAGTTAGGATTCGGGAGGCTAGGAACGAAGTTTATACCTCAAATAAATCATTGAGAAGCATATTTCTGTACTCAGTCTCTAGGAAGCGCCCTATTCCCGTTTGTTGTTCGTAACTGGAGACTTCATGCAACTGAGGGTCGAAGTGTTCTGCTCCACCTACACCGCTCTCATCTAAATCTATGTCCCAATTTATTCCAGCGCCAACTTCAGTACCCTCTTCCATGCCTGAGGAGTTTTGCTGAAGATCAAAACCAGAGTCCGGTCCAATATCCCAAATGATATTTTGGCTTGCATCCGCTGAAGTATGATCATCTGATAGTGTACCAATACCCCAGTCGATGCCATCACTACTTTCCACAACCTGATCGGTGCTTTCCGATCCGATACCCCAGTCTATTTGGTCAGTAACATCCTGGCCACTAGGAGCTCCCGCAACACTATCTACACCCCAATCAATAGAGTCGTGAGCACCTTCAGTCCCGGCTCTGTCATCAGGCTGATTACTATCATCTTCAGTGATTCCCCCTCTTACAACTGTGTCCGTTTTCTGTTCATGCGAGTCAACCTCAGATCCAGCAAGACTGGGCGGATGCTCACGAAGGTCTTGAAGCGTAGGTAAGATGGATTGCTGCTGTTCCTGAAAATAACACACGGCGCAAAACGTGCAACAGGTTTAAAAGACCAAAATTCTTGTACACTGAGAATATGAGCAATAACTGACTTGGACAATAATTTACCTTGGATCCAGAATGTGCATATGATATCACAGCTTGATACATCTCTATTGATTCTCCCACAATATCATTAGAGACGGCTTGTACAACCTCCATGAAAACGGCAGGGAGGGATTTGCCAAGCATCTTCAGCTCTGCTTTGACGTCGTTGCCCTGCAGCACGGGAGAAAGAAAAAATAAAACACAAGAACCGTTGGGAGAAACAATGAATAAAGGAAAATTAACCTGAGTGTTAAGAAATAAACTATACAAAAGATTTGGTTGCACACATTATACCGACCTTAATACCAAGTTCTTCACAAGATTGTTGATATCTAGCGGCTGCAGCCACTGCATTCCGATTGTATTCTGATTCTTTTTTCTCCATATCAGTCAGCTGCTGCTGAATTTTCGCAATCTCCCTCTTGTGACTTGGACTTTGTAGCAGAACACCCCACAAATAGTTTCAGCCATGTACTCTGATCCCAAAGCCACTACGACTACAAAAACCATTCAGCGAACGCACCATTGAAAGAAGGAATAACAAAGGGATCACATAGAGCATTACAAATTAAACTACACTTGAATCTCAATCTCTACGCATGCTACGTGAAGAACAATCAAAAAACGAAGTCCCATTCAAACACACATTTCATAATCTGTGTAATGGACCATAATCTGCGCTGCTTCCCCAATTTGCAGCAGCTCCTTCTCGTAAGCCCGCACAATTCCATCCCACTCACCCTGTCTCACAGAGTAAGCTATTTCAAACGAATGATATATTTCCCATAATAAGTGCATGAATACAAAAGATATCGATTTCCAGCAGATGCAATCACTCCTGATGAAAAAAACTCGCAAACATCAGTCTTCCGACATTAAGTGTTCCAAGGAACCAGATGTGTTACGCAGCTTACCGCTATTCCAGAAAGTCGACCAAAAAAGTTGCGGGAATCGGGATTGGATTCTGCCAAAATGTTTCTGATGCGCCTTGCTTCCAGGTATCCAGTATCTGAGCCCAGCAACTAGTCAGTTTTCTTTTCTTTATTTTGAAGAAATAATCATCTGCTACGCACTGCTTTTATTCCATAGTACTCATCACAAAACCCTAGAATTCCGATCAGTCTATACGCAGGCTTCGGGAGTCGCAACACATTCCCTTAGTTACCGAGGGAAATTGAGCTGCACCACCATTCAGCAAGGTCACAAAGAGAGGATTCTGCACGAATATATAAAGCAATCGAACTCACTCTCCACGGTCAACGTCTGCAGCCATGGATCAATCGAGAGTGGCAGGGTGGAGAAGGCCGCAGCAATTCGAGCCCGCAGCGACGCGACCTTCTTCCTCCAATCCGCAGGTATCCTCCTCCGATCGGCCAACCAATCTGGAAACCCCCAATGCCACCCATCGTCCCCGCAAACCACTTCATCGCTCGAACGCAAACCAAAAACATGGCAAAATTGTCACACGCAATGGTGGTTTCCATGTTGTGTTTTTTTGCAATTTGTTTCTTTGAATTCTGCAGAGCCAAATTCAAACCTGCGAGTTTGGAGTAAGTGATGTCGATGGGCAGCAGAGCGACGGAATCGTAGCCAGCCACTGCTGCTGGAGCTCCATCCATGGCTGGATCGCTGGCGCGGAAGAAGAAGAAGAAGGACTCGTGGACGTCGGTGCGATAAAAGCTCCACGATCGCGAAGCTACTCCTTTCTCCTCATTCCTCGTCCTCACCCTGTTGTTTTGTTGCTTGGCTTGGCTTGGATTCGTGGCATTTTAGGGCTTGTGTCTTTACTTTCTCATAACTCCTTCACGTCGTCACCTCTTTAATTCTTTACTTTATTGATATTATATTTTTTCTCTCTCTCTTTTGTGATTTCTCATGTGCGATTTGTTGAGGTGACTCTCATAATTTTTTCAATACTTTTATGGAAATTTATTGTTTAAGAAAATCAGAGTACCTTTTTAAAATTAATTTTTTGACTATCTAGTTTTTTAAACAAATATTTCGAATATATTTTGGAGTGGCATGTATGTACACACGTATAGTTGATGTTTCCTTTATAGATGTGGACCTACATTAAAACATAAAAATTCCTCGTTGCAAGGTTGAAGGGCCATTGCTCATGGGACGGCGTTCCCTTAACCGCGCACCTAAAGCCGTTCAGTTCCTGATATCAGTCGTTGAGCCAGCGCCTACTCAATAAGACCAGGTATCTAAGGTTGAGAACCTGAAATACCCAGGTACCGAACTGATAAAGGCGGCGACCGTCCCCGTGTGTATGAGTTTGTTGTCTTGGGAAGAAAATGCTGGAGTTGCACACCAAGAAAATGGTGCCATCCCTATGTTCGCCGGACGCTCTTCGTACATTGCCGCCGGCTTCGGTACTGCAATTTCACTGTCCTTCAGGACGTTTCTTCGTCGTTTTCGTTTGTATCTCAACAATTCTGTGGTTCTTTATCAACAAGTCTTTCGGATAGAGGTGCCACCTTCTGTGCCGAATGCAACGAAGGATTTGATTCGCCTTGTTTTGTGTGCAGCGATCGTTTCGAGATAGTTCCGATTGAGCGAGAATATCTGAATGAGTTAATGTGGAATTTTCGGATTCTTACAATCACGTGCTCTTGAGGAAGCTGTGAATGGCTGAGGTTGAGTGATTCTTTGTGAGCTGCGAATGTTGCCGACATTGAAACGTTCTGTTGCCATGCTGTACTCCGGGGATTTTTAGATGATAATATGTGGTTGCGGGAGTCCGGCAGATGAGACCGTATTTTTTTGTTTCAAATGCCTAGGTACGATCCATCTTGTGTGGTCTGTGCTTATTTCCTTGACTCCAGCTGCTGATTGCCGATGGTGCAAAACTGCGTAAATCCTCTATCATTACCTCTTTCTCGGATCACTCATCGGATTGGACAATTTACATCTTCGGCTTTGGTTTTAGTTTAGCGAAGTAGCTTGAGAATTACTAAATTCAGTGGTTGACGCTTGCGCCACCTGAATGATAGCTCTGTAATTCTTCATTTCCACCTACTGGCTGAAGTTGCTTGAGGAAACGAACTTTGAAGGTTTATGATGTAACTACTGAAACAAAGAAGCTCATGCTTGGGCCTTTGATAGCAATATGGTCAAATTTTGAGTTGTGAATAAGGTATCAATAGCTCCATTTAAGTTTGTTAGATACAAATGCACATTTAAGGTGGGGTTATAGATTTATTGCGAGGTTCTCAATCTTTGAACAAACCATAGGATAAATAGTACGCAGATCAGATAAGGCAAGATGTTTTCCGATTGTTGTATGTGTTAATGCTACTGCGCATGACCACCACGAAATTGGACGATGTTGCGAGGTTATAATTATATCATTTCCGCCAACTATGATTTTCTCATCGTATCATAGTGTGCCAAGCAAATCCGACGAAGTGAGGTCGCGGCTATTGAAACCCCATGACGTCCTCGTAGAAGGATGGGCCTGGTTGTGGATTTCTCCGAGGAATTATTCCTTGTGTCGTTAAACAGCTGATGCATACGATATTTTCGAAGCCTGATTTTAAATTTTCATGCCACTGCTTGTATTTGTAGCTGTTACTGCACACAATTTGCACAGCTGTTCAATCCTGCGGTTGCATCGTCTGCAAAATTTCCGTTGTGTTACCTCAATACTTCTCTTTTGAGAGTTTCATTTTTAAGTAGTAACAGCCTCTAATGCAACAGTTGATAAGCATTACATAATTTTACGCATCCTCCACACAAGGTTTCAGATTATTACCTCATGTTATTTTTAGTTTTAACAATTGTACTTTGGGGTCGAGTCTTCCACAGATGCGTTAAATTTGGCATGGCGTATCCTTGACATCTCGACTTCATGATGGAGGACCTAGCCTCATTTATCCAAACGTTGAGCGAGAAGTACGGTCTTTTGGACTTTGGAGGCAGCAAGGTCGACAGCACAGCAGCAAACCATTTTGAACAAGAAAACTCGCCAACTACAGCTGTACGACAAGCTTCTATCAACCAGGAAAACGGCGATTGCTTAGATGTGGATACCAGCTGGGAGTGCTTGACAACGTTTCTTAACAAACTTGAACTCGAGCGTTCGAACATGTATGACTTCCCCAGAAAGAAGTTCCCAACATCAAAACAGAAAGAGCCCAATGATCTACTGTTTGGTCAAGGTGCTGAAGATGTCGAAGAAGAACAGACCTTGAACCAACCTGAGACATTCTCCCCTGATCGGGCCGCCAGCTTCGCGAATACCCTGCAGACCTCGGATCTAATTCAAAATGCCTCGTTCTTAGATGAGCTGCAAAACCCATCTCTCTCGGAGGATTTGCAGAGTACTGGAATGACGAAGGGCCGAGATTCATTTGACGAAAATTACCACCACAGCTGGCAGTCGTCTCCCCTGCAGGAATTCCTAGCGATTGATGGGGAGAAGGACGTGGATGTTTTGGAATTTGCGAAGGAGATGAAACTATCGAGCTGCAACGAGTTTCCGCAGAAAGAGGATGCTGCATGGCATGCTTCCAACGCTTGGTTTCAAGAATTCTGCTCAACAAGAAACAATGTCAGTACAAGTTTGTCACAAATTTCGGTCCGAGCGGAGACGAAAATTGCTAACGAAGTGTGTTTAGATCGAGGACTCTCGACCCATGATATAGTGCTGTCAAAGGAAATCTTGTTGTCGAGTGGGAGCTCGAGCTCACCGGCTGGAACAGAGATTGATGGCCAGGCGGAAGATAGTCACTCAGCTGCAGCTTCTCAGTGTGGAGCCGGTACTGCCGCTGACAGATCGAGATGTAATTCGCCTGAAGGTTATGCATCGGGCATCGAGGGTATTAAGCGGGGGAGGAAGAAAGCCGCTATTGTGAGTGCTAGAGTTGAGAAAATGCTAGAAGAGAGTGGCAGTCAGTATGAGGGTGCAGCTCACAAGTCAGCGGAGAATGCATGTGGAAATCCCAAAAATATGGTGAAAAGAGAAGACTTTAATTCAGAGGATGCTGGAAAAATGTCAGAGTTCCGATTTGGAATGTCTGAAAATGGAAACAGTGGATCCCAGAAGCAAAGGACGACGGAAACGGACGAGGGGAGCAGCCAGCTGCTGACTCAGCTCAACAGGAGCAGGTCCCTCCTCAGTCCCTCGTTTCGACCCTCCTCATGCAGATCTCGATCGTCAGCATTGGAGAAAAGTGAAAGTAGAAGACAGGCGTTGCAAGCTGAAAGATTCAGTGAGGAAGTGGGAGAAAGGTGTGGGGAAAACGGCGACCTTTATCTTAGGCAGATGGATGGAGGTGGTATCAATGTGACGTCGCGCCATTGCCTCGGGAGAGTTTCGCCGCCACATCAGCATGAGCTGCTGAAGGGTGCCTCGTCTAGGCGTGAGGGAAATTTCGGGCCTGACGATAGAGATTCAGCAACACAAGAAGACGACCTAGGTCAAGGCATCAAAAAGTCGTCTTCTTATGATTCAGGGCAAAGAAGACTGTCCTCAAAAAATCACGCAGAAATTGATTATCAGCCAAGTAAAGCGTCGTCTGTGGATCAGGTTGATGAAAACAGTCGAAGAGGAAATTTATTGCGGGATCGTCCCCTAGGTCGTAAAATACGAATGCATTTTCCAAAATCGAAGCGAATATCAGACCCATATGATACCAGGAATTCGGGTGAGCAAGATTTACCAGAGGATCAGGAAGGAATTCTGAACCACATGGTGAAATTGAATCAAGAGAAGCAAGATCGTAATAGAGGATCACTTGCAGTTTCTCCAAGACATGAGAAAATTCATGATTGTGAAGAAGTTGGACATGGAGAGGAATCTGAGAGAGGTCTTGCAAGGTGCAGCTTTAAACATCCAGGCCAAAACCACCAAAACGAGGAGAGTATGTGCACAAGATCCAGGGACTGCTGCAAGGTCACAAGTTCTTGGGGACAAGAATGGACTGAAGTAGAGGAGGAAATAGTCGAGACTACTGATCTAGCTCCATGCAGGGCATTTGTGGACCACACTAAATGGGAAAAAGTCAACAATCTATTATGCCAAAACGGGTTTTCAACCATTCGTAGTTCAAATATCCCGACTTCTGACTTTGAAGAGGATTGTTTCCGTGTTCTTTCGAAACTCGTGAATTATTATGAGCGCCGAGAGCAGTTTGTTCAGGTAAATAGACTAAGCTTGAACACAATAAGCTACATGGCCGTGAACGTTTGAATTTTGCATAAAAAATAATTAACCACTGTATTCAGCAGTTTGTCATGCTTGATATGCTTGTAAAATAGGCGCTATTGGAAGAAGGGGATGGATTGCGGCAATCGGAGGAGCGCAGTTTAATAAACATCCAACAGTTGGAGAGTGAGAGGGACGAGATTCAGCAAAAACTAAAAGTCAGTGAGCGTCGAGCGGAGGTTGCAGCTAAAGCTGCAGAGCGCAATCACGCTCTGCTGCGACGAGATTGCCAGAAATTGGAATCTTCCAATGCCAACCTCATGCAACGATGCAGGTATTTACATGTTGCACTTGAGCTCTCTACCGTACTGCTTGAACATATCTTAGGGAACCTCTTGTTGAACTATCGTGGAATACAAGACTTCTTCTGTGTATCGACCACTAAAAAACTCAGAATGTTTCAGGATAAAAACTAGAATTCACCATATTTTTGAGGCAGCTGATTGCATGTGGTCCAAATCTCTGGTTGAAGTTTTTATAAGCTAACTATCCTTTTCATTGGTCCGATTTCTGTTACCATCCAAAGTTGCAACTCATGTTGCTTTAATCTGAGGCTGTTGGGTTATGGTTCAAACAACAGCCAGTTGGAACATGCATGTCGAGCAAAAGAGCGTACTCTGCAGAAATTGCAAGACAAAATGCGCGAATCCATGCTGAAGGTGAGTTCGTATTACACATTCATCCACACATGAGCCAAGGCAAGAAAGGTGGAAGTTATTTTACCTACGTCAAATGTATGCTCAAGTGGCTATCTACTTCATGAGCTCCAATAGTCCAGTAAATGGTGTTTTGCCGAAAGAACTCTTACTACTTCGTTTTTGCATTATGTAGGAAGATCGCCATCGAATCAATGATAAGGAGGTCTATGAGAAGCTAAAGCATAAGGTTGCATCTGCTCAGCATACAAATGGTGAAGTTCTGGAGTCGAATTTCTTGCAACGTGACTTGAAACCGGCCCAAATTGTGAGTCTTTTGATACCATTTGCTTCAATTAAGTCATGGACTGGGCAGCACTTAGTTCTATTTTTCACTGATGTTCTGTTTCATGTTCCAAATGTTCCAAATGTGTCATTGATATTTGTTTAAGATTTCACTTTTGAGAACGTTAATTTGAAATTTAATAGAGATCCTCTAGGGCTTAAGTTCAATGACAACCTTGCAGAGACAATCTTGATGGCCAAGCATTTTAACGTTTGTGGTGGAGACCAGGTAGGTATTTATGAACGGCAGAAGGTGGCCTTGGAGACGGAGATATCGAACTTACGAGCAGAAAATGCAAAGTTGTGTCGCGAGATCTGTGAAAAAGAAAATATAATTTTGCACAAGGTTCTGGGGACAAAGGAGACAAAGGAGGCGTTAGAATTACTAAGTCGCAAACAACAAATGCAGGTTGCAAACATTCCCAAATATCAGTTTAATTATATCGAGGTTCACATGAATGGCTGTGACGAGGATTGTATTTGGAAGTTAGAAAATCATTTATTTCTTTAGCCATTCTATGTCACTCATTTTTAAATGACCAATGAAGCCCGGCAAAGTATATGCCTACTCCACCAGAAATTAATGAAACGTAAGTACAAGAATCTAGAGTAATTACCAAATATTGCCAAACATTAACTCGTATATGTGATTTCACCAGACTGATAGGGCTCTCTTCTTTCACAAATAAAGTTAGAAGGGTTATGAACATGTAACACCATGTCCTTATTCACCCAACCAGAGTAGTTTCCTACCTCAATTATCAGCGGTGACATATTTAAACAATACATTCAACCTTATTGATCTGTGTTATACGAGGCTGATTCATCAGGTTGATGAAAAGGACAAGGAAATCCACCGCTTAGAGGAAGAGCTGAAAGAGCGTCCAACCATGGAAGAAGTCGAAGAGACAATTCGCTCTGCCACATGCCAAGAGGAGAACTTGGTAAGTTTACTCTGTCTCCCTGGTTTTTGCTTGAATTCTAAAGGCTCCTACGAAACGTATCATTGAGCCATGTTTTAGATCCACTCAATTGTATGCCGACTAAGCTTGAAGGAGTCCATTGGCCATCTAGCGTGTTTGATTTCATTAGGTGTCTGCGTTGCTTCTGCTGTTCTCTTCATGGAACGAACTTACTTTCCGTGTTTAATCTCCTCAGTTCTTAAGTCTTTAACATCTCGGATTTTAAAAATTCAGGGTAAAGATATCAATATCTCTGAATTTAGACTATTAAAATCCAGCCAATGTGCTTGACGTGAGTTCAGGGACAGCTTCATGATCGCGATCAAGGGGAGAGCTACTTCGAGAAAATCCTGGGGGAAATCTGCAAACTTCTTGAACTTGACGATCCATCCTTCATCGTTGTAAGCTCCATCTCTCATCCTTGTCTTTGAATGTTAAACCGGAGAGTTTCTTTGGAATAATATCCTCCTTTGTGCCCCATTTTGGGAAGCTTTCACGATCCATTGAAGGTTCACAACTGTCACTCTATCAACGTAGATCGATACGGCAAGTCTCATAGAGCGCACGTCATCCTACCGAAGGGTAAGCCTTTGCAATTTACTAGGAACTTAGTGAAATACAACTTTTCCCTAAGCTATTCACTATCGGTATTGGATGTTACGAAGCTCACCAATCTCAGGTAATTAAAAGTTAACTTCATTAAATTTGAAAATCATTGCGATCGTAAATTACAGCACGTGAGCATGTAAGTGAAACGTGACACCTTTCAAAACAGTCTTCAACGAGTTTTCAATTCCAACGTAAAAGCTCTGGCATTTTTATAGAAGATTTGGTCATCCCTACCTATTGAGATGTGATTACCTTTTGGAACAGGAAACTTTGGAGAGTTTGTTGGTACTTGTCTCAGCGGTTCCACGAATGGAGCAATTCGTGACTGATGTATGCGACGTCGTTTTTTGCGACGGCCAAAACTGGTCTCAGCTCAGGTTTCCTCTAAATCTGAGTTTTTCATTAGTATCTTTGTTTTACAGCTTTTTTATTTTTTAGTAGTGATGAAATCGTGCGCGAAACATGTGCTCAAGTTCATGAAGTTCTTCAGTATACCTCACTGTGATTCTTTCGAACCATTTCGAAAATCCAACATTCAGAAATGAGTGAAAAGGAAAAATAACTCTTTTGAATTGATTTGAATGAAAAGGATCTACTTTCCAAACAACGTTCAAATCTCAATTTTTAATTTTCTTCCACAACATATTAGCATGTAGTAAACCGTTACATTCAAACGTGATACTTTTGCGCAGCAGCAACGAAGACTCTGGGGTTGATAGGACACCTGAAGCTGTACCAGACATACTAAAATCCTGGCTTCAAAAGCTGGAAGAATCAACGAAATCCTCTGAATCCTTCGATCTACTGACATTCAAAGTAAACTGAACTTTCAAACCCATTATTGACTGCGTTTCAAATCCAAAAACGTTGCCACTAAGGCCTTATAATTCCTTGGTATAAATGTTGAATCTGCAGTTTTTCCTTGTTGATGTACAACAGGAGAATATAATTAGCATGCTATTGAAGAGGAGTGACGAAAATTCAGAATTGGACCCTGGGATTGACAATCGCGTCGTGATCGGATGTATCAAGAACCTTATCGATGTAGAGAAAGATTACCTCACCACCAAATCATCATACAGGTTTAGTAATTTTTAGCACTGCCTCCATTTCTGCACCCACCTGAACAGGGAAAAGCTTTGAGATAGTACACAGCAACTTTGTCGCAACATTGTCGGTTACAAGCTTTCATATGTGCATCAAACATTTTGTTTTCGTCTTGAGATCTGAAACATGGATACGGGTGGTGGAATGTACCAGCGATGCAGACGCTATTATAAACTCGGAACCCCAGAAGCTACTGCACCGAGTTATTGCTCATTTTCAGGTATTTATTTAATTATTTAATTTCTTAATTTTGGAGAAAAATAACGTGTATTCTGACTAAGAAGTGTTGGAAATTCATGTCGGCTTCCCTGTTGCTGTCTTCTTTCATCTTAATGCGACTGTAATCCTGAAATAATTCGTGAGAAAGATTAAATCTCTCATGTTTGCAAAAGGTAGTTTAAATTGGGATCGTAAAAGTATTCTGTGCTAATAGTTGCCAAAACAACTCTTCATATGTTTCCAATGCTGACAGATGTTATTTGAGGTTCCAAAATTGGAAGGAGTCATGGCAGTCATGAATACAGTGTATATCAAATGCACAGAGTACCATAACTTTGCCATAGCATTGAGCTCAATGCTTGGTCTCGACAAGGAAGAAGGGCCTAACACGATCATCTCCGCAGTTAACTCCATTTTGTCGCGAGAGGGGATGTAATCTTAAAACATCACCCTTAGACAAAAACAGTGAAAGTCGACAATCCCAAATTACGATGTTTAACAAAGCGAGAAAGTTTTTTTAAAAAGCCTGCACAGTAACTGTCCTGCGATTTTTATGTTGGAATCCTTAAAATGCAGTACGTGTACACGCATTGCCGCCGTTCCCAGAGAAAGCGGATGTTTTACCCATCGTCACTGACACCGGGAATCAATTTTTGGCAAGGTATGTCCCACACAAACGATCCTCCTGACTTCCACTCTTCTCATTACCTAGTGTACTTGAAAGTCTTTTTTCCTAACCAATAAATCTCTGCTTGAACGAATCCGTGATGATCTGCACAAGCCTCACAAACATGGTGCTTTGTTGTCTAGAGTTGCCTCTCTGCCACGATGGTTACTCCAAATGTTACTCAACTCTGAATCTGAGTACCGAATCAGGATTCCCTTCTAAAATATTCTTTACGCGTGTATTATCTACAGCCACCCGTAGTATTTCTGGATTATCTATTGGAGTGAAACGTCGTGAACCTGAGAACTTTGTAAAATAAAACTCATCGTTTATTGATCGATACACGCTATTACATGCAACATGGAAGAAAAAAAAGTAAACATCACAAATTTGCAATATTCTCCACAGACTGAAAACGTTTGGTTGGTGTAGTTGGTCATCATGCTTGTCGCATATACCAATGGGTACCAATTCCAACCTGGGATCAATGAGTAAATCGATATCATTTACGAATTTCTCTTTAGTCTGTCATATATACACAGTTTGACAAGGTAAAACAAAACTTTGTTTTAGAGGTTCTCAATACTAACAGAACGGGACTGGACTATTGGAAACATGAGCATGATCATATTAAACCTCACATAAACCCACTTTCAATAAACACTCATTAAACATTTAAGATGGATAAATGGTGGTTTTCCAATATTCCTTGCAGACAAACCCTCAATTAATGTGTGTACTTCAGAGTTGAGGCTGAAGTGATGTACCCTGGGATCACTGTACTTGGTTTTTTTTCAGTGTGAGAGAAAGTCTGTGGTTGTCTCTGCCTAAGAAGGCTCTGAAATAAAGACTGAAGAGAGAGCAAGTACATGCTACAATCTCACCAACACTAAGCAGCAGCACTCACATCAATCATCTTTCCAACTATTCCTCTACAGTGGAATCTCACATTTTAGGCCTTTTAAGATCAGTTAGGTATCAAAGATGATGAGTTTTTATCTATCTTATCATTCAACTTTTTATTTTTTATTTATTTATTTATTTATTTTTACATAGCCCTTCATAACACGATTCTTTTGTGGTTGTGTGCTCTTATGAGTGCAAACACAAAACATGGTCTTCAGACCAAACTGTAGACGATCTCAACAGTTAACTTTGAGATATATACTTTGAATAGACTCTAGGATTGTAATGGACTCTTGATAAACCTATAGCTTTGGATTACATTAAAGTTGTAGTTGGACTCTTGATAAACCTATAGCTTTGGATTACATTAAAGTTGTAGTTGGACTCTTGATAAACCTATAGCTTTGGATTACATTAAAGCTATAGTTGTAAAGACAATATGGGAAAAACAAGATTGCAATTGTAGCAATTTTGTAACAAAAAAAGAAAAAAGAAATTATGTATTTAATTAATTTATTTAGTTATATTTATTGTTGTTGGTTTTGAACTTTGTTGCATCTACTATTTTAGTATACATCTACTCACTTATCAAACCCTAGGATATCACCATTTTATAAAATGTTATATATTATAATCTCTCATTGTTTTGACTATTATCACTATGAATTCCATTAATACCAAAGCCATTCACAATGAGTTGTAGGTTGATCTAATCTACAAATCTTATTGTTGTTTAAATCAACTTTGATGTAGGAGTTGAATCTATATTATACATGTTATGGATTAATCAAATGTAGCCACCTACTCTAATAGACATAAAATAAGGATAGTATATATTGATAAATATGAATTTTGCATTATTGAAGTACAAAAAAAGTAGCGATTGCCATGTCTTAGTTGCTATTCATCTAAGTGGCACATTTTTTTTTATGGATAATAGAGGATTGAAATTAAATAAAGTTTACTAATTTAGCATTAATGATTTTAAGTTGCTTAAGGTGTTCAATCAATGCATAGAGTGAGCACCTATGCAAATGGAAGAGCTTTACGCAATATGGCACTTGCTTCTTCAGGTCTTTACCTTGTTGTTAACTAATAGACAAAGAACATTTCTTATGCATTGTTCCATCAAAATATTTCTTAAATTAGATCAAATATATGTATATATATATATATATATATATATATATATATATATATATTAACAAATACACATACTTCAAATATGATATTTATAACATAACTTTTGATGGATTTTATGAAGTTACTTTTGTAAATATACTAAATAATCCAAATGTATCAAACTACAAATTTGAGATTTAGTAAAAATTTAATATTTTTTATTCATTCTCACCTTCTTATATATGTATTAATAATAGATAAAATAGGACCAATTACATCATTACAAGAAAATAAAAGAATCAAAAAAATGCATGAAAAATAATTAATTATTTATTGAAAAAAATCTAAGAAATTAACTACTATCTTTTGAATAGGCTTAATTTGTATTTACTAAATATTTGTAACTAAGTAATTATCACATGATGTAATTAACTTTAAAATCTACTATGAATATGGCAATATTCATGTGAAGGTATTTGTAGTTATTGAATAAAGATAATATGTTCCAAATCTAATTCTACTATGTTTATTTAGAAAAAAGATTGTCATATACAAAACTCAAGAACGTAGATTAAAAAGTCAATATAGAATTATTATCTAGCTATTTTTATATAATGTATTTTAATTTTAATTTTATTTTTTAGATTCTACATTCAATTTCAAATTATATACATAAAATAAGAATATAGATTGTAGGGAGGCATGATGATGCTTCAAGAGATTCTATTGCATAGAAGGAAGAAGTTTCAAGAGTTGTTGCATTATATACATATCTTATCCATCACTAAATAAAGGTTCAATCATAATAGTAGAGAATATAATAGTTAATTTGTTCAATCTTTTTTTTTGAGTTCAACCTGATATCTCAATGTAACACGGCTAATAGGTGAAAAAGTGAAAAAAATATTATATTATAGAAGATCTTATTTCAAATCATTGTAGAAAAATATCTTAGAAATATAGATAATAGTCAAAAGGACTAATGTCATATTACATTATCGTAATACGTGAAGTCTTGCTTGAAAATGCTTCGAGCATCTGGCTGAGGAAGATAGAATGGATATTGCAACAACAAAAACCTAATTCTAATAGAATACTAACAATGCTAAATAAGCTTTAATCAAATTCAGAGAAACCTCAAAAGAATTTCAAAGAAATAATAAAAAATCTTAAATAAATATTAGAATAATTACAAACATATCTCAAATACATCTCAATTCAATCTTAATTTAATCTTAGTTGAAATCTTACTTCATTCAAACTTTAGGCCAAAAACTAACTAAATCTTAAATCCTAAACAAACTCAAATAAAATCCTAAATCCTAAATCAAATCTTGATTAAATCCTAACCAAATCCTAAATCCTAATCCTAAATCAAATCCTAATCAAATTCTAAACCCTAATCCTAAATCAAATCCTAACCAAACTCTAACCTTAATTCTAAATCCTATACCAAATCCTAACCAAATCCTAATTTTAAATCAAATCATAACCAAATCCTAATCAAATCCTAATCTTAAATCAAATCCTAATCAAATCCTAATCCTTAATCAAATCCTAACTAAATCCTAATAATTTCTGTAACAAAATTAAACCTCAATAACTAATGAATGAATTATTGATCTTAATTCAAATTTTGTACACTTCTTAAAAATTGAGTTGAAAACAAGCCTAAAAGCTTTGAAAAGGATCGGAATTACCAAATAGATGATAATTTCAAAAACGTGCTCGGATATTGGCTGACTTCCTTCTCCAACCTTGATGTCAATCTCTCAGAGCCAATATCTCTCCTTTTTACCATTCGATTGATTTCAAAATTCTCATAGGCATAGAAAAATAAGTCTAATATCTCTCACACAAATTTCACTCTAATCCAAGTAGTAGATTGCAAGAAATCTTAAAAATCCTCACTGGACCTAAAATTCTACTTTCTAAGACCTTAATTCATTTAAATCTCAATAATCCTCAATTCAATTGTTAGATCCAGCTAAGATTCATAACACATACTAAGTACAACTATGACCATTAACCTACAAAATTTCACCTATAGATCTATTACAACTTTCTTAAAATCACTAGAAACATCAATCCTATTTTATTTCATAAATCCCAAGTCATCTAAAAACAATCTTGACTTTGTAAAGCTCTTACAAAGTCATAAAAACTCAAAATCGCCCAAAACTAATGCTTATAGAAACCTTTTTCAATTTGCTGTCAAATCCCACTCTTTGATTTGTAAAAGAATCCCGGAGTCGTCGTCGAGACTTGATTTTGTGCCTCAGGGTCTGATTTCGACCCTGGTTCATAACCAGCCCTCTTTGCGTATCAATATCTAGTTTTTTTAAGTAAATTTTGCTAGAATTTACTCTTAATTTCCTTCTAAAGATGCCTATATCATTTATTTATGCTGCTATCTAATAACTTACAACAATCAATACAAATAGAGATTAATGCCTTACAAGGATTACTAATACTATAGAGACAACAAATATTGGTGCAAAAAGAATTGTGTTTCTACTATTGGAAGCCAAGCCATCAAATTGGAGATTTTCCAAAATATCAAAGTTCATACACCAATAAATTAAGGTAGGTTTATAAACTCAAGAATCATCAAGTCAATAATAAAATAGAGTAGAGAAGTAAGACTCTTCAATAAAAGCATTAAGGGCCAATATTGGGAATAGCTATTATCTCTTAGGGACAAATTGCATGGCCTCAGAAAACTATTAAAAGGATCAATTGGTGTATCTAATGGGTTGACTAAAAAAACAATCATATTGAGTGCTTGCTGATTGCGGCTTCATAGAAATTACATCTTAATTGGGATTGTAGATTAATTTGGAATTAAAACTAAGGTAATTAAAGAAGGTAATATATACTTAGCAGATGACTAAGAAAAAATAAGCAAGTTGATTGATTAACAAAGATGATTTCCTTCAAAGATAGTGGATGTAAGGTGATTGTTTTTGCTTTGCATCAAGTGAGGTAAAAAAATAATTTGGTGCTAAAGGCTTATTTGTAGGAATAACCTATATGGAGAAGCAAATACAACATAAACAACTAGTATATATGGTGGTTCTAAATCATGTCTCAATGGTGAGAAATATAATCAAAGGAATAGAATAGATAGAGCAATTCAAACATGAATATTAAGATGTCTTTTCAACCAACTTATCTATTGGTATGCCTCCTTCTAAATAGAACTATTACTTGGGACCAAATCCACAAATCGACCAATTTATTGCCTAGTATCAAATGAACTTAAAGAATTCTAAAAGATATTAGATAAATTTTTGGAAAAAGGTTTCATTTGAAAAAATATGTCATCATGGGAGGTACCTATATTCTTTGCACTCAAAAATAATAGTGT